GGTAACTCAATTTTTGCAAAAAGCTAAGACTTTATTTGATGAGCTAGCAGCTACTGGCCAGCTTATTTCGCTAACCGATTTCAATCTATATGTGTTTCGTGGCCTTCGCGGAGAATTTAAGGACTTAGTAACAAGTCATGTTACAAGGGCAGATCCTCTACCATATGCAGATTTGCGTAGTCATTTGCTAACTCATGAATTTATTCATAAATCATCTCATTTGTTTATGGGGTCTGCTGCCATTCATGCACCATTGTTGCCCATGCCAAACATCCCACCTTCAGCACTCCTCTCTCATTGTCAGCCTTCTGCTCAGTTTGGACGCAATAGGGCCATTCTTATGGCAGCTAGCATCCTCAACAATTCTATCACAGAGGGTTTTGCAGTTCTGGTTCCAGGCCTGATTTTCGTAGCTTTCATAGCACTCCTAGCAACAACAACAGACACAACAACTAGCAGGGAAATTGGCAGCGTAATAGGGGATCCAATTGCCGCTGCCAGTTATGTCAAGCCTTCGGACATACTACTCCTCAGTGCTCCCAACTTCAACAACATGGCTATGGACAGCAGCATAGTGCCAATCTAGCACTATATAATCATGCAGGTACTACTGAATGGTTTCTGGACACCGATGCAAATCAACACGTCACGCCTGACCTTGTAACCTTGATTGCTTCAGAACCATACAATGGTAATGATAATTTACATATTGGTGATGGTAAGGGACATTCCATATCTCATATTGGCCATACAAAACTATATAACCCACGTCGTTTGGTCACTTTATCTAATGTCCTACATGTCCCTACAATCATGAAACCTCTGCTTTCTGTTCAGAAATTTTACATCGATAATAATGTTTATTTTGAGTTTCACCCTTTTCTATTTTATGTTAAGGATCTCAACTCCAATGAAGTACTCCTCTCAGGACAGAGTAAAGATGGTCTTTATACTTTGTCTAGGTTCAAGTCTTCCATCTCGTCAATTCCTCAAGTCTATTGGTCTCCCTGCATCTCTGCTTCCGCTGATTTGTGGCATTGTCGCCTAGGTCATCCTACCTCTTGCATTTTTCAACTTTTAGTCTTGAAAAATAAGATCATTTGTAAAGCTGAATTGTTTACAGATGAAAGCTGAGACAATTTCCTACAACTTTTAATTTTCAATGTCAAAGTTGTCCCTTAGGAAAATCATCGTGTTTGTCTTTAAGACCTATTAGTCACAAAACTTCTACTCTGCTTTAATTAATTTTTAGTGATGTGTGGGGTCCTGCTCCCCTTTTTTCTTTGGATGGTTATCGTTATTTTGTTATCTTTGTTGATGCGCACACAAAATATATATGCTATTATCCATTTGTTGTAAAATCTTATGTTTATTCTATCTTTCATCAATTTCAAACTCTTGTTGAATGTCAGTTTTCTTTAAAAATAAAATATGTTCAAATTGATTGGGGCAATGCATATCGCAAACTCTCCACTTTTTTTCAAGATATTGGTATTCATCACCGTCTGATATGTCCTCATACTCACGAACAAAATGGAACAGTAGAAAGAAGCCATAAGCATATTGTGGAAACCGGCCTTACTCTTCTACGCTAATGTAAAGCTCCATTTTGTTTTTGGAATTATGCATTTGACACTTCGGTTTATCTTATTAATCACATGCCTACACTTGTTCTTGATAATTGATCTCCATTTGATTATTTGTTTCAACGGTCTCTTGATTATCATTTTTTGCGTACTTTTGGATGTCTATGTTTTCCTTTTTTGCGTCCCTATAATAATCATAAATTGGATTTTTGGTCTTCTCCATGTGTGTTTTTTGGCTATAGTTCCTCTCACCTTGGTTATCGATGTTTTGACATTGAATCTCATCGCATGTATATCTCCTGTCATATTCGTTTTCATGAACATGTTTTTTCGTTTGATAAATCTGAACAAATTGCATAGGTCTCCACTCAAACCCACACCACATCTCTTATTACCATCGTCATAAATTTTACCCACTCCTCATTGTTCACCGCTCAAATCACACCCTATCCTGTCTTTACGTCTGCGCTGCCCTCCCTTCTTACCCAAACACCACAGCCTCCACCTTTCCTTTGCCGCTCACCACATGCCTTTTTATCTCACCATATTATTGCAGGTACAGGTTGCAACTCAGTGTTCCCTACTCTCCAGCATGATGTCTTTGATAGTAGTGGGACATCTTTTAGCTCCTCCTTTGCTTCTCTTTATTCTGTCAGTCACCCGGTTTCTGCAGACTCTGCCTCTACTACCAACCCTCCACTTATGGCAACTTCTTCCCCGACTTCTTCCCCTAGTCTGAATCTCGTGGTTGATCTCTCAGCTTATCTACTGCATCAGGACACCTTTGTGATGTCTACCTCTCCTGTATCACCACCGTTGCTCAGCTAACACCCTATGGTCCTTAGATCATGGCAGCCCAAAACCGCAAATATAGTGTCCTCTGTGGTAGCTGATACAGCTGCCACCCGGGTATTGCTTTCTCCTTCCTTTGAACTTGTTTCCTTTTCTGATGTAGATAAATATATTTCTTGGCATGATGCTATGTGTGATGAGATCAAGGCTTTACGATCCAATCATACTTGGTCCCTAGTGCCCTTTCATCCTTCGATGAATATTGTGGGCAGCCGATGGGTATATCACATCAAATGTCGTGTTGATGGCAATATTGAACGTTATAAAGCCCGTCTAGTTGCTAGAGGCTTTACTCAACAAGAAGGCATTGATTATTTTGAAACTTTCAGCCTAGTTATTAAATAGACCACTGTCCGATTAGTGTTTTCAATTGCAATTTCCTATAATTGAAAGATTTATCAACTTGATATTTATAATGCTTTTCTCAGTGGTATTCTTACTAAAGAGGTCTACATGAAACAACCTCTAGGTTTTGTTGACCTTACTCTTCCATCTCATTTGTGCAAATTGTACAAGTCACTATATGGTTTAAAATAGGCACCAAGGGTATGGTACACTTGTCTGAGCGATTTTTTACTCTCTATTGGTTTCCTTGCCTCCAAGGTTGACTCCTCCTTATTTATCTTATTTGATGGCACTGATATCTTTTATCTCCTCGTCTATGTTGATGATATTGTGCTTACGACCTGCAACTTTGCCATGCTTCATCGCCTAGTCCATTGACTAGGCTCTGAATTCAAGATTCGTGACTTAGGTGATGTTCACTACTTTCTGGGTATTGAAGTTCAGTCTACAGGTATGGGTTTGATGTTGCACCAACACAAATAAATTCTTGACATCCTCACTTGGGCTGGTATGACTTCTTACAAACCTGTTGATACTCTAGTTTCTCCTTCTAAACTTGCTATACAACCGAATCATCCATTCTCTGATCCCACATGATTTCATCAAATTGTGGGTGCTCTTCAATATCTTACATTCACTCGTCCAGATATCTGCTTTACTGTTAACAGAGTCTGTCAATACATGCATGCTCCTACAGATTCCTATTGGGCTGCTGTTAAACGCATACTCCGCTACCTCAAAGGAACATCATCCCATGGTTTTCATATCACTCGAGGTACCTCTTTTGCTCTTCATGGTTTTACAGATGCCGATTGGGCTAGGAGTATTAATGATCGCAAGTCTACGGGTGGCTATCTTGTTTTCTTTGATTAGACACTGATTTCATGGAAATCTGGCAAGCAACGTACAGTTGCCCACTCCTCCACGGAGGCTGAGTATAAAACCTTAACAGATGGTACTACTGAGGTCATCTGGCTTCAATATTTGTTAACAGATCTGCAGGTTCCTTTCGTCTCTGCTCCTACCATTTGGTGTGATAATCTTGGTGCGACCTATCTCTCAGCGAATCCTATCTTTCATGCTAGTACTAAGCATGCTGAGGTAGATTATCATTTTGTTCGTGACCGGGTTGTGAAGAAGGAAATTCAGATTCGCTTTATCCCCTCTCGGGATCAACTTGTTGATGTCTTCACCAAATCACTTTCTGCTATGTCCTTTACTGCTTTCAGGTTCAAGTTTCGGGTCGATCCTCCACCCTTAGCTTGAGGGGGCATATTATAGAATGTATTTGGGTCGATCCTCCACCCTCAGCTTGAGGGGGCATATTATAGAATGTATAGGATGGATATCTCTGAATGGAAAATTAATATAGGATTATTTCAATATTGTAATCCGTACGGTTATTGCCGTATTCTGCCCTACATATATAAATAGAAAAGATTGGTTAAGTCAATCTAAATCATTATGTTATTCTCAATTTTATTAACAACTTTATTAACATGGACCCCTTGACCACATATATATTAAGCATAGTTTGACTTTTATGTTCAAATGAATGTAAATATCTTAAATAGCTGGTCCAAGAAAGAGGATAGACCTCTCACGTATGCCAATTACAACCAGAAAACTAAACGATGGATTGACCTTTTGTTTTGTTTGCGTCAATGTTCATCCATATAGCTTAATTGTTGGTTTCATTTAAGATGGCATGACAATTGACAGCAACTCACCAAGAGTATACGAAGGTGGAAAAGGAGATGGATTTCGTTGCTCTTTTTATGAAGCTGCAAAAGGTCCTGATGGAGCTGGAGATCGTCTACATATATCGTTGTGGGATTGACCGGCTAATCTAGATTGCATTTCCAATAATTTATTCTATAATTATGTCAGCGTGTATATAAATTTCATTTGAGATTTCAAGGTTGCTTAATTTTGCTGACGATGCATGCAGGACGGTATATAGTATATACATCTCTATCGTTTTTTATTTCTAATAACCAGCTTTGATTAAATCTAATTTATTCTATAGTTGAATGACGTATATAGAGATATTTTATACTTGTTTTTTCATAACAAACTCGAAGTCATCTCTGGAAGTGATCTAGATAGAGGGCTCTGATCCGATCTGCTGATAAAAAAAATTAACAAGGGGTTACGTGATGATTTATTTTAGATTCTTACATCATGATCACACGAGAATAGACATTGTACCTTAGATAGATAAAATGGTAATAAAAGCAAACAAGTGGATTGATTCATCGTACAAACAAGAGTAACAAAACAATAGCTAGCAGTAGCACAATGTCTTCACATGTCCAGTTACTTTTTTTTAGAAAATGGGCAGCCATGTGTTGCTGTTGCAGTGTTGACAGTGTTGTCTTCTGGTTCTGATTGGGATGGTGAGATCAGTAGCCCTCCAATTAACTCTGCTGGGTCATAGTAAATTTCTACATCTTCTGCCCTCATAGATTCATCCACCTGTGAATGATCACCAGTTAAATCATAATTAACCCAGTTTACTTTTCTTACAGAAAATCATTTTTATTTTTTTATCAATGAAGTTGTTCCTGTAATTTATGTATGTTCTGAGGAATCTCAGTTTTTCCTTTTATGTCCAAAATGAAATCACTAATTTAGCTGCCAGGTGCGATTACTTGAACAAAAAGATTTACCTGATGAGCTTGATTAACGTGTTCATTAATTATTTTCCAATCAAATCATAGCAAGTAGGCAAGTTGGGATAATAGTTGAAAGCTACTGGTTCATCGTGATGTTTTGAATTTTTGTACAGCATACGTTGAGGACTCCTGAGCCATAGAACTCAACCTTTTCTCCGTTAGGAGCATGGCCTTTGAAAGGTCCTTCAAAGAAACCCCAATGTCTGAATTTGAAAGAAATCACAGGAGGTCCTGAATATACACTCAGCACTTCCCAGGTGATTACTAGTTAAATTATTATTTAATTTAACTAGTAAAGTAAGAAGTTGAGTGATTATTAGTCAAGGGCTTAAAAAATTTCAACGTTCTTCCCTTATTTTATGATTATTTTATATCATGAAATAATCTGAAGGCTCAATTGAGAATCTTATAAAATTTGGCTTTGCTCTCTTAAAAGTAGTCGGTATCCGGCGTCCTCTTTCTCCTCATTATCAATAGAAACACTCCTCGTCCACTGCCACATTAAGTAAACCCAGGAAAAACTCTCACAATACGAATATCAAGAGCGGCATCAATGGGCATTGCAAACTCGCCGGTCCACGCACTTTTCTCGATGAGGGAGAGATTTTCTAATTTCTCTCGTCATCTACGAGGTATTGGGTACCTTTCGTGGTCGAGGAGTAGCATGTTACCTTCTCTTTTTTTACACCTTGTAATTATATTTAATAGCTTAAATCAAATATAAGAATAATTTAATAAGAAACCAAATTGAGTTTTAGTTTGATGAACCATTAACAATGAGCTTGAATGTGTCAGGGTTGATGGTCTTATACTGTCCTGTACGCGAGTCTTGTGTTCGATTTCCATATCCCATGTCTTTATAGCATTTTGCACTACTTCTAGCGATCCTTCTGGCCATTCCTTCAAACCATATATCAAACACAGAAAATGAGACCCAAAAATATTCAAGGGTCATAAACATATACATATACAAAAAAAAAAAAACCACAACGCATATGCACTAGGGGTATAAAGAAGGTTGAGGACCTTAGTTAACATATACATATACAAAAAAAAAAAAAAAACCATAACGCATATGCACTAAGGGTATAAAGAAGGTTGAGGACCTTAGTTCGGCCTTCTTCAAAGAGCTGATTTACTGTATCGAAGTTGGGAGGGCCACCATGCCTCCACTGTGTGGTATTCTCAGTGTCATCATGCAAGAAAGATCTGTATTTATCTCCTACTTTTTGAATAACAATTGTGTACTATCCACACCATTTAACTAGTACTATCAAGATCTAAACTTCAACGTGCCTGAATCTATTTGGTGAGATTTTTTTGGCTAACTTATGCCTCCTTTTCCTTGATTCTACGTAAGCCCTTACGTAAACTTGGGCAGTGAGGGAAGATGGAAAAATAAACCAAACGAAAGGAGATTGATTGCACAAGAGCTCGCCTTATTAGAAAAGTCCAGCGGTCATAGATAAATAGAATAACATAGAAAATCTGGCATGGACCCCAGAGATCTTGATTGCAAGTGTCTTTGGCTCGATGATATCAATTGATAATCCTGAATTGGGTGTGCCTTACCAAATACTACTAAATTGTTGTTAGTTTATTACACAAACATTCAACGTCCATCCTCGTGAAAGAAGTGCTTCAAGGCAATGCAATGCCATGAACAACTTTATTGGTTCTAATTATAGTATTTGATTAATATTTCAGAATAAAATAAAAGAGATGTTAAAGATGAAGACGTGTCTCATTGAACTTTTTATTTTAAAAAAATTCTATAAAAAAATAAATTTATTTTTATATCTTTACCCTTTTAACTAAACACAGTTTATGTTTTTATTGTTTCAATTTTTTTCATTCTAGAAATAATAACCAAACAATATCAAGGAGGCAACTAGAAATCAACAAAAGAAATTACACAAACAAAGCTAGTCAATTTTCAACCTTGCTTGGGAGTAACCGTCTTCAAATACAGATGTCAGTCGCACATCTGCTTCGCATGTCTAATTGCCTATCTTATTTGACTATGATATATATGTGTATATATATATATATATAGACGCACACAGACGCACACTTCTCCACATCTGTAAAACCTGAAACTGGTACTTCATGTTTTACAGATTTACAGATGTGGAGAAGGGTGTGTGTATGTATATATATACATACACACACACACCCTTCTCCACATCCGTAAAACATGAAACTGGTACTGGTGTGTGTGTGTGTGTGGGTGTACACATCCTTCTCCACAGCTGTAAAACATGAAACTGGTACAGATGCGGAGAAGGGCCGACAATTGATGCTTGCAGCGAACGTCATACTATATAGACCATTTATACTTCAACAAAATAAACACGAGCCTCTTGATAGAAGAGCTTTTTTCGTCATGGTTTGAATTCAACACTAAATAAGTATTAACTAATTAAATACTTGTGTTAGAAATTTTTTAAATTAGTTTACTATTTTCATAAATTGACAACTTGAAGTTTAATTTGAATTTTATTAATTTTAATAAAATATTAAAATAAAATATAAATATAAAAAGAATTCATATTACCCAGTTAAAATCCATCTAAACCATGTCACTATACATACAATTTAACATACCAACTATTAAACAACTTGTTAGAAACACAAGACAACCAATCAAAAATGCCAGCACCAATTTTCTGTTTCACTGATTTAGTGAAGGCTGATAATTGATGCTTGCAACAAACAATTCTTAATATATATATATCTGTGTGTGTGTGGACACTATAGCTTGTGTGAATTAATTTTGAAGTAAAAGTTATTTTAGTTTTTCCAAGTGGCTTCTAAGTGTATGGGTGACTATTAAAAAGCATTTTTTTTTTTAGTTTCTTAATTTATCTCTACACTGATATATGTATGTATGTTGAGTATTGTAATTCGAAGACCAAGTTTAGTAAAACTTTCTTTTTTAAAAGAATAATATTTATATAAATGAGATTGTCTTCCAGTACCATTCTTCCCTTTGCTTCTTTAAATATTTCTAATATAATAGTTGATTAGTATTTAAAAATATATTTTTATTAAGGTTTTATATTATCATATCAGACTTAAAGTATCATTAAATTCCCTAACTTACTCATATTTTATAATAACAAATCTGATAATATAGAATATCTTTAATTTATGGTAAATGCTCATTTCAAATACAAATATATTTCACGATTAAAAGGATTGATTAATTTGTTTAATTATTGAAATTAAGAAAACAAAGAGAGAGCTAAGCTTAAAAAAAAGAAGCTGGTTTAATTCAAACTGGAACATCATTCGATTATTAGATCATAACTTGAGCTGTATAACATGGATTTATGTCTGGTTTATATGGATGGAAAGCTAAGATATACGCCTAAAATTTTCATGAGAGTCCAAAATTCAAAACGGTTGTTTTCAAGTTCAAATAGTAGCAACAAAAGAGAAGTTGGAATCTTTCCTACAGCCTAGATACTATTCAGTGTTCAGCCTATATCTTGAGTTTTAGCAATCCAAATGAGCTCATTCTTTTTTTGTTAGAAATCTAAGACAAATGCCCAGAATTTTCATAATGACTATTTGTTCAAATTTTGATGTTAGCAGTGATGTTTTGTTCAGACAAGAAGATAAGGGTTGTTACTAAGTCAAAAGATGATCACTCACTCAATAATTAATCATCAAAATCAATAGTTCCAAATATTAGCTTATAAAAAGGAAACATTTACCATAAATTTAGACATCTTGGTTGTTTAGATCAAGATCTTGCTCTTACTCTCTTTCTTTGTATTTTGTAATGTTCAAGTTTTATTTTATGATATATTAATCTCTTATTTATACTTTTCATTTCATTTCCTTTACTTAGTTAACTTATATCTTATTATGTTTTTATCTTATTTATTTATATTTCTCTCTTTCATTATATTTAGTTAAGTTTATTCTGTCAAGGTAAAAAAGTTACACTAATGGTGCAAGAATAAGTATAGTGTAAACTCAACATGGACTTTAATGTTTGATACTAACATGTTTTGTATTTGTTATCTTATTCGCTCTTAATACTTTGCTTATTAAATGGTTAATCTAGATTTGTGTTGTATAACACTTGGCACTTTCATAGCCTAACCGTATAGCGTAACAGACACTTGTGCTATGAAAGTAACTTGATTTATTGTTAACATAAGTTATAATCATGAATGTCTGACAATATTTACAAGTATTAGCATTATTTGAATAAGATAAATATTGTAATCATATTAACAATTTATAATTAGATTGAAACCTCCTGTGTGTGTGGTTTCAGTTAAGTAATAAAAAGAGTTTATACTATACTTATTTGAAATATCATGTAACATCCTACCCCTATACCAAGATAAAAGCAACAATCTTATATCAACCGAAAAATAGAGTAATTTTTTTTTAATATTCATGGTCTTCGTATTAACATCTACTGAAATTTTGACAAAGTCCCCATATACTGGAAGGTTCCAAGTTAGCGATATGTAACCTGTTTACACTTCTAATAACTCATATCTCATAACTTAATCCTGACCTAATCATCCTGGGTTTCAATTCCACACATATTATCACACCTATCATCCACAATATTTATGATATACATTATATAACAAAATATTATTGTTGATGAACAAAAATACAAACACATAGACATTAAATATGGTTATATGAACTATAGAGTTAAGTTCATTCATACAAGTTTAAACATTAATTATACAATTTTAGTTTTACAAATATTTTCATGTTTACAAAATATAAGAATACACTCCCTAGAACCTAGATTACAAGAAGGGAAACATAAGCTAGGATCTACGCCTGTCGTGCATGCAATGATCCTGAAACAAAATATATATTATTGAAATGTGAATATCACAATAAATAAAACAACAAGAATATCTAATAATTTCAAAAGGGTAACATGCACTCATATTTTGTTCACTTATCCCTTTTGGTTTTTCATTAGAATCTCTTCCTTATTCAACTATTAATAATTGTTCCCTCTTCCATCATCAATCTCCATTCCAGACTTTATAAAATCAAACATGATTATTTTTATGTAACATATTACAGATACCAATTTTATTGGTATCATCAGCAACCTGTAAGAGTCGATGCAAGGTGGCCCCTTTACCTAGGATCTTAACATATGCTAAATGTATGCTAGCCATTAAATGGTGATCCCCTTACCCAGGATCCTAACATACTCTAAATATATGCTAGTCAATGCATGTTTAATACCCTTACCCGGGATTCTAACATGTACTAAATGTATGCTAGTCAATGCATGCTTGATCCCACTTCTTATATTTTTTTTTTGTCAAAGATGATTTCACTACTCAACAATTCACACAACAACTTTTCACCTTGAATACACATACATTCAGTAATTCACATTTCACATTGGTAATATATTAGAATCATGGAATTTAATTTAGAAAGTATAGGTGTGATTCACCTACCTACAATAAAAGCTCTACTCATGCTCTCCTGTTGCTGCTGTTACACCTCACCTATGGTCCCTCCTGTAAATCACAGGTTTATCTCATAAATTTTTCTCACCCAAGGATATGTTTTATAGTAACCATATTGATAGCCAATAAGTTTTTCTTTCAGTTATTTTTTAATATTTTATGTTTTTCTCATTTCACCCATTAATATTGTCATTATTTGTCCAACCATAGTTATCATTCATTTCTTTATATTTGGACTGTTATTGTCCATCTGTTACTGTCTTATTTTTGAACTGTTATTGTCTAAACTTTGAACTGTTACTGTCTTGTTTTTGAACCGTTACTGTCTAAATATTGAACTGTTATTGTCTAAATATTAAACTGTTATTCTTTAGACATTGAACTGTTACTATCCAACTGTTACTGTCTTTTTTTTTAGCCGGTACTGTCTAAACATTGAATTGTTACTGTTTAAACATTGAGTTGTTACTGTCTTGTTTTTAAACCATTACTATCTAAACATTAAACTGTTACTGTCTAGATATTGAACCATTATTGTCTTGTTTTTGAACTATTATTGTCTAAATATTAAACTGTTATTCTCTAGATATTAAATTGTTACTATCCAACTGTTACTATCTTGTTTTTTAAACGATACTGTCTAAACATTGAATTATTACTGTCTAGACATTGAACTGTTAGTGTCCAACTATTACTGTCTAGACATTGAACTGTTACTGTCCAACTGTTACTGTCTAGACATTGAACTATTATTGTCTTGTTTTTAA